ATTCAAAGTATTCAAACACACTCGAACAAATAATTTTCAACAAAAACCAAATCACACAATGTTGTAGCTTTGAAGATAGAAAATAAAAACTAGCATGCTAAGCATTAGATTGTAGAAATGAGTTCTAAACATTATTTGAAGCTGCGTGAGTGATGAAATTGATGTGGAATTTACCCATGTCAACAAGTCTACCAATCAACATGCTGATTCTTTGGCCACACTAGTTTCAAAAAGAAAAAAGTTTGAAGATGATGAAGCTGTCATTAAGATCATCAAGTGACGAACTCCAGCTCCATGGAACTTTAACAATAACCTATATGAAGATGTCATTAAAGAAGGAGATTAGAGACATGTTGTGATTCAAGAACTAAAGCCCTCAGTGTCGTCAGTGCACATGGCCAAGAAAGACTTGAAGTGCTTCACTAAATTATGTGGCAAACCGTCAACGAGAAATCAAAGCATTCATTTAACAACTAATATTCAAAATCAGTTTTTCTTTTCTACAAAATATTTGATCGGTTATAACCTATTAGAGAATCATCATGCTTGTTTATGGATGAGAAACATCCATCAGATTGTGCCAAAAATAAAATTCATAATTCCTAAATCAATAATAGATAATATAGTAATCATACGAAAAAGGACAACTAAATTAAAGAGAATGCTTACACTATGATTGCTCTCAATTTATAAATGCAAGCATCACAAGAACAAACATTCAATTAAACACAAAAGTTGTCTTCTCTGAAACCCGACGAAGCTTTCAAAATGGAAAGTTACACAAAAAATTTACTCCTAAACCTAAAATTGAAAGTGAAATACTCAAGGATAGAGAAAAAAAACTTTTTTTTTCTAAAAATACATCTCCATATATATACCCCCATTTCCCCTTTCTCATTGGATATGGTGTGTGGCCCGCATGATGGATGAATTGCCGAAGAAACTTCGTCTGCCTAGCTCGGCCAATGAAAACCCTTTTTGAAGCTTGGGAGGTGAAATCAACGAATTAGAATGCTTGCCTAGAAGTTTGGAGTCGACCCTCATGAGTGGTTAGCTGACCCCATTCGATGTATGAGATTGTGGGATTTTTTTTTGTCTAAATCGACTTAGCATCAACCAGTTGAAAGTGAGGTTCAACTAGTTGATCGCCCTTCTTTAGCCGGTTGAAATGCTTTCATGAACTGGTTAAATGATCTCAGTATCTTTCTTTGGTCTTGGCTTTGTCTAATTCACTGGTTGAAATGTAGTGACCAAACGGTTGAAGTACTCCTAGTACTTTTTACACATCTTATCAAACTCTGATCAACCGGTTGAAGTTGATTGACTAACCGGTTGAATACTCTCAGTATCGTGAATGGTCCCAATATCTAAAAAATCCCTGATCAACCGGTTGAAGTTGATTGTTCAACCGATTGAACTTCATTTTTCCTCAATTCTGCAACCTTTCTACTATTGCTCCTCCTTGCCTCCTTAATCATTCCACACATCAACATCAATATTATCACCTATGTCACACCTACAAACACAAATGTGACTTCAACCGATAATCAAACCAAAATTAGAGAGATACTATTAATTAAGCCCATAAAATGAATGGTTTACTTAATGAAATGTGAAATATTAAGTGCTAAACAAGACGTACTTCCTGGTATTTTGCAAGAACAATCACATAAAAAGAAATGATTGAGCCAGAAAAGAAGAAAAGAAATGAACACTACAAGATGTGAGAAAATGAGAATAGGCCAACATGGATTTGTTTTGATGATCAAGTGGCAAACGGTTGGCCTTGTCCAAATGAGAAAGAAAAACATTGACCTAGGCCCCAAAAGAAGGAAGACCGAGGAGGGCAGAGATATCATAAATTGTCAGACCCATCATGCCACAATGAAAGTGGAGACATTATTCATTGTAGTCCAGAATAGGAGAGCTGAACAAAGCAAGGGTCTATCAATGGGCAAGTTGATTGTACTAACATTTTTGGCATTATAAATGCCCAAACGTTTCCACAAGTGGTCTTTCACCGCTTTAACACGTGCAACCCAAGAAACACATTTTGAAGAAGGAGTTTTCCATGAACGAATTCGGGTTCCAGAACTCTAGTTAGACCATTGGTCGAAGGAAATGGAGAAAAAGCAGGGTCAAGGCCCATCACCGATGGAGAAGTGTCATATTCAAGAATGAAAGTATGATGGTCAATTTTTCGAGAAAAAACTTCAGCAAGTGCTTCTTGAAGAAAGGTAGCACGAGCGATCACCATTGTAAAAGAAAGAAAGATTAAAGAGTTGGAATGATAATAGGTACCAAGTCTGAAGGGGGAAAATATAGGCATAGTCAACAAATCGTCGTAATGATGAAAGGATATGAACGAATCAAGTGATTGAAGCTAAACCGTATGCACTGAACAGAGTGGCCAATCCTGGGGTGACAAGTAAGTAGAGGTATCAAGGCGACATCAGTTCAAATTAAAAGAACCAAAATAACACTCCAAAGGAACATATTGTCGTACCATTTGGGGGAAATGGCAATGTTTACAACCAAATAATAAAAGATTTGAGGGTGACAAGTGGCAAGATCTAATGGCTAGAATTAAGTTAGTAAAGGTCCAAGGGAAACAAGGCAGTTAAGGGAAAGTGTCTCCATGGATCTTGGATAATGTATAGATGTGACAACATGAGCCGACGGTTGCAAACAATTTAGTGCACGATAGATTACGTTAGAAGTAGAGACCATATGATTACTTGGGTGGTGGCTGAAAAAGATGGCTCTAGTGATTAAGGGCCACCATCTATAAATACAGAGGTTTAGGCTATAAAGAAGGGATCTCTCAACACACACACACAATGCGATAACATACTAGAGCCTTCTTTTGCACTATTTAGCTTAGTTTATTTTTTGCACTGTAGTAGTCACTCTGTTGACCTCCTCCTTTCCTTTTAATTTCAAGTACAATAGTTCATACAAAAATTCCTCCTTGTTGTTTACATTACTATCTCTATTTTTCCCAAAGCAATTTCCCAATTTGGATGTTTCCCAAGTTATTTCCCTTGTTTGGGTCTTTCCCCGACCCATACCATGTGAATTTCTAGGGGATAGCTCCCAGCATGCTTGTTGCCACCATCCCAAAACGATGTCCCATTAGATGAAAAAAGTGCAGCAAGAGATGTCAAACTATGCGTCTTCCACACGACGAGGGGTAATGACTCTGATACAATAACAATTTAGATCTGAATTGTACCATATACCTATTTTGAGTTAAGGCGCACACCTTTAAGGTATTGTGCATAATATGGGTCTAGAGTTCATACTTATAAAGCGTTCTACACCCATTTGACTTCGGCAAGCAATATGAGACTGGTTTACTACAATTGTAACGTTCCAGTTTTGCATTGTACAATATTGTGTGTTTTAGACTATGTTCACACAATTTGAAACAATACAATAAAGGTCCAAAACTCAAACTTATAGAATAATTTACAATTACTTTACCAAATAATGTGGGATTCTATCATCACTTAATCTACCTCCTTCAGTGTGGGTTTTCATGGAATGACTCTCGCTGTGCTAGTTGCCACCCTTCCAAGCCATTGTCACTTGGGACCAGGTGCACCAAGTTATTGACTACATGGTGTCCATGAATCAGTGACTTTGACATCACTTGGAATGTCCACCTTGACTACATGGTCTCCGTTTTACATAATACTGTCCACTTTGAATTACTCACACGCATATATAAAAGGCTAAGCGACTAAGTGATTGTGGCTCATTAAGGGGGCATTGCAAAGTCAAAAGGCCCAACTAACAAGATTAACTTAAATGACCGTGGGGGAAGAAACAGGTGGCCTTGGGAGCAATCATCATTGCCATTTATTGGTTATTGATTTTCATCAATTGCCTGAAATAACAGTTTCCAAGCGTACAGTCGCAATGAATTTGTTTGTTGAACAGCATTTTGCTGCTAATTCTACTTCTGAGTTAAGAAAATTATTGTCGAAGTAGAACAACTCTTTTTACAGAAAGAACCTATTGATTTTTTTATCAGTGAGCTATTACACACTATTTCAAGTGAAAGAAAAAAAATTGAAGTAAAGTGTATTAGAGGAGATCTAACTCCGTCCTTCCATTTTGCTTATGCAAAACATTGGTATTCTTTTTCATCCCCATTTAGTTTTAGAAAGAACCTCCTCTTTTAATTGTTCTTTTTCTTTTTCTTATTTTTTTGGGGGGTGTTGAATCAGAGTGGATTTACGAAAAAGTAGAAGACAAGAAATTGCTTTGTTTCTGCAAACTGAATTTTGTAGAAGTAGTTGACATTATTGACCCTTATTCATATCATTCATATCAATCACATGCCACCTTAATCTGAGCCTCCTGTATTCTCACCACAGAACTCATCCTCCATTCAGTACAATCTTAAACTATCTTTCAAAGGCCCTACCCCGAAACTTTTATTCTTTTAGTTAGATTACACGGGTTCAGTACGTTACCAACACAGGAAAAATGGGATGATTTTTTCATTTCAAGGATGAAAATATCGATGTGTACAGTTGGCAATACATTATTCATTGTGGTTTACACAATCGGAGTCACGTCTTGCCAAATTTTGTGTTTTGTGTACGTACATTGTGTATTGTCAAGTTGAACTTTATGAATAGTTGAGTTCTTATCACTCATTTATTTAGCTCTAACACGGGTTAAATTTATACTTCATAAGTATATGTTGATTTGATGGATCGGTGTTGAGACTTGACAGTATGAATGTGTGTGTGTGTGGGACAGAAAATTTTTATTGAATTCAACAACTTTGCATGAAATTGTTCAATGTTCTTGAACCAAAAGGGTGTAAAGGTAGTCCTCTTGGTTGGCTTCATTACAACCTTTTCTAATGATGAATAACCTGACTCTGCCAAACAACTGTCCCATTGAATATCCTCAAACCACCTTCAACAGCTTCTTTTAGTTCTGGTGGCTCTTCTACCTTTTCAACTGTGGTTGCAGAAACCATTAATAGCATAGTCTCAAGTTTTACACACTATGCAAATATATAGCCCCTCTCATCTCTTGTGATCACACACAAAACTTATAGTGTTTTTACTGTTTCTTGCAAGAAATATTATGGGTAGTTCATCAACTACTTGTCTTCAGCTTATTTTAGGCCTTCTTCTAGCTCTCGGAACAGTTGCTCCTCGCGTCGAGGCTCGTGCGTTCTTCGTGTTCGGGGACTCACTGGTTGACAGTGGCAACAACAACTACTTGGTCACCACCGCCCGTGCAGACTCTCCTCCTTATGGCATAGATTATCCGACGCACCGGCCGACCGGCCGGTTCTCTAACGGCCTTAATATTCCTGATATTATCAGTTGAGCATTCTTGACTATAATAAATTTTAATATCTAAACCCAGTTACTGTTTTTGTAGAATGTGTGGACCATCATGGAAAGAACAACTTTTCTCATGAACTCTTCTTGTGGAAAACTTACATAGATAGTAGGCTTAATTTTTAGTTTTCATCATGATTTACGTAGTATATTACATATATATGTGTGTGCGCGCGGGCACGGTGCATGCATACATGGGTTTTTTGTTTTTTGGTGTATGTTTGATCTTGCATGGGCTATTATTGTGTGTGTTTAAGATTAAGCAGTGTTGATTGTATTTAATTTCAGGCCAGCATATTGGTTCAGAACCCACATTGCCATACTTGAGTCCACAGCTCACCGGGCAAAGATTACTTGTTGGTGCCAACTTTGCATCTGCCGGGATCGGAATACTCAATGACACCGGTGTCCAGTTTGTAAGTCCGAAAATCAGCCAAACGTTGTACTTAAATGTGGCATTACAACTGATATAATCCAAAAGTTAAAAAAAATAACATTTTTCACTCACCGACCAGGATAGTTCAGACTACAAGACTTCTGAAGTTGCTATGTTCTAAGTTCAACTCTCTCAAAAGAGCATTGATTTATCAGAAGAGGTGCATGATTTAACAAATACGTGTGATTTACGCATGGTTAAAAAGGTTTTCTATTATCCATATGTATGGTGTTTTGTTTGCCTTAGTGTGATGCAAATCAAATCGCACATGTTGGTTCAGATGCTGAACGAGAGGGGTGAGGCATAAATCAACACATTCTGAGTTCAAATTCACTTAGTTGCACAAAACTTGGTTGTACTGATACGCGTGATTTGTCGTGATGACATGCATTTAAAATTTACGTCCAAAGCCCGACTGTAGATCCAAACTATTGTTATCTATGTATTGTGCCTACAGATGAATTCTAGACATACGTCTTGATTTGAAAAATTTGTGACTGTTGATTGTAAAAAGAGTAATGTACTTTTAATATTGTATTAATTTGTGACTACTACTGCTACCACTTTCACTGTACAATAAGCTAATCAAGAGCCCAAAATGGTGTATTGCAGGTGAACATAATAAGGATTCCATTGCAGTTGGATTACTTCCGGCAATATCAGCAACGAGTGAGTACACTGATAGGTGCCCAGCAGACTAAGCGACTTGTAAACCAAGCACTCGTCCTCATCACTCTCGGCGGAAATGATTTTGTTAACAACTATTTTCTCGTGCCCTATTCTGCGAGGTCTCGTCAATATTCTCTCCCAAATTATGTCCGTTATCTCATCTCTGAATACCGCAAAATTTTGATGGTAAGACTCTCTCTCTCTCAACCCCCCCCCCCCCCNAAAACTTGGTGCATATGGATTGAACACTAATAGATGTGCGTTATAAGCTAATTGATCTGTAAAATTCGACCCATAAATGAGCCGATACGAATTTATTACTAACTATGAATGCAAGATAACATACTCATTAATAGCCTACACATCCATTGAGAGCCCTACAATCCCCCACACACCTGTTAGAATATCTATTGCTAATTTTCTTCGTATGCATTTAGGTACTTAAATGTGTTTGTATATGGGTGTATGCAACTGTGTCTGTTTGCGTTAGAAAAGCAAAGCTATGTTCAGATGTTCATGTTATTGGCTTCTGCTCTGAAGTTCGAATCTTATAAAAAATGTTTTGGCTGATTTGATTTGATGCATGTTATTTAAGAATGAGCGTGGGCATCTCAAGTTTATGTAGTAGTTGCAAATCCGACTGAAAGTGGTTCAAACGATTTTCTGTTATTAGGGAAAAAATGAACATGTCATTAAAATTATGGAGAATGCTATGGTACTAGAGAAAAAATAAGTATCATACTGCTATTTATAACTTTTTAGAAGTTTTCGTATAATTTTTGATATTTTGACCTTTTTATGATTGATCCCAATATTTTGGAGTGATCAATTTTAAACACCCCAAAAAATTATAAGTGGAACCTTAAAAGTTAACCTGATCCCCAAAAATTGTTGTAACTAGATTGTAACTAGATTTTATGAGTGATTCTAAATTTTTTAATTATAACTAGATTCTAAAAACTTTTATCTTAACCCACAAAAATCATAAACTCATTCGGTACTAAATTCAAATCCTAGAATTATAAAGGCTACTCTCTCCAGCCAGCTACCCTTTACAGTTACAAATCTTTGGCATAAATCACATTATGCTTCTAAAAAAATGGCAAATTTATTTGATTATTTAAATTAACCTGTAATTGTACTTTCCTTTATCCATTAAAAAAAAATGTGCACCAAAGAAAAGTTTGAGAGATGTCTTTAATGGATTCATGTGTTTAGGGCAGCTAATACAGGAGTGTTTCTTAGAAGCGTCAATGTCGACACGGACATGACCATACCTAAACAGGTACCCTTTTTCAGATTTATAGCTGTAGACTGGGTACTGTCACATGAAGTTAGTAGCAGCTAGGCAAGGAGCGAGTAAATAAGGTGGTCGCATTTTGTACACAGCCGTTTTAAAATCTGAAAAAGGGTACTATATGTGCATGAGAGGATCAGCTCTATGATGTAGTTTGGGAAGACAAGTTGACAATGGCCATGCATCCATTATGTTGTCTTCTTTATTGACCCCCCCGACGGGGGGTCCCCCGTCTCCCTCTCTCCCACCCACACTTACACTTACATGCATGATTTGATTCAACTTATTGCAAATTAAACTATGCTTATTTGTTTTACATTGACCAATTATTAATGTCATTTATTTTTTATCCCCAAACTATGTGATTTTATTTTATTTTACCTTTATATGTAAATATTTGTCATCAAAAAATAACAGACGCCTATTTTTGGGCTAATATCGAATCAATAACTATAGTTAAAAAGGACAATGTGAAAACCTCAATAAGCATTTTGGGGGCAAAGTGAGATTAAGGCTATAGTTAAGGGGGTTAATATGTAATTAACCCAAATTTTTTGTTAGCCCTCAAAGGTGTTAATATTATTAATTTAGCCCTCAACTTCGAGGTTTTTGGTTTCGTTGCCATAGAGATGAATATTAAAGGGATGGATTATTTAGAATGACCCAACTCAATTGATTGAGAAAATATAGGAAGTGGACTTCAAAGCCCTATACAAACCACACAGGGGATTCACAAATGGTAAAAGTTTATTTATTTACTAATTGCATTTTATCAAAAAAAAAAAACACTTTCATTGTGTTGATATTTTCGTATCCCACTCCTTTGTTCATCTTTGTATATTTGAGCAGAATCAAAGAAAGTCTTTACGTTTGGAAAATCAAAAAGGTCTTTTACCTATGACTCCAAGAGTTTAAATTAGTTTATCAAGTAGACGATGCAATATTAATAAGTATATTTTTTGTATATATAATTTTCTGAAGTTAATGTTTTCGATAATTCCAACAAAAAGAAAAAAAAAATTCTAGCTCCGCCACAACACACGCACACATGGCCACACAAACAAACTCATCATTCACCTAATTACAATTTATTGCATCATTGTTACCTTTATTGCAGAGGCTCTATGAACTGGGAGCTCGTAGGGTTCTCGTGACCGGAACCGGACCGCTGGGTTGCGTCCCGGCAGAACTGGGCATGCGCAGCAGAAATGGCCAGTGTGTGCCTGTATTGCAACAAGCTTCAACCTTGTTTAACCCCCAACTCACTCAGATGCTAAACGGACTCAACAGAAAAATAGGCAGTGATGTCTTCATTGCTACAAATACACAACTAATGCACAGTGATTTCATCAGCAATCCCCAAGCATATGGTACTTCTAAGGACGCAATTTTCACTCTCAACTTAGTTAAATTTGCTATAGTATTGATCATCATATATGTTGTACAGTCCCCCCCTAGTACAGCCATAAGGCTAGATTTATCCTATATATTTATATATTAAGCGTAATTCGTACCTGAAGATACGGTGCAATTGAATAGTTTTGAGAAAGATGTAAGTGGACTCATGTTCTTAACTTTTTGAAATTTTAATTATACTTCTAAAATTATGTTTTTGATCATATTTTATATGCCACGCAAATTCTTAAAAATATACTTTATACAATATATTATAATCTTGATTTTATTTTATCCCCTCGACTATTGATTTAATCATATTGAGCCATTAACTATTAAAATTGTGACATTTTTCATAAATCGTTAAAATTTTGGTATTTTACAAATTTATAAATTTCAGACTATTTTAAATTATTTATGGTGCAACATGATCGAATCAATAATTAGTGTTAAAGTGAAATTAGTGTCATAGCTAAAAGGACAAATTATAATATATTCTAACCCCACATATATAAAGTTAAAAATAATTTAGAATATTTATTTCAAAAATCTGCTCTTCTCTCTCTCTCTACCTCTCTTTCTTCATTTTCCAAAAGTGTGATGAAATTTAATACTTGAGTGATTATATAATGAAATTAAACTAAAATTATTGATTATTTAATGAATTGATTTTTTTAGATCTAATAATTCGATTAGTTTTAATTAATTTTATTGAAAATAATAATTACTCTATACCATATGAAGCTGATTCTTATATATTTTATGCACGTACAAATTTGATATTATCAATCTTATTGAATGATCCATAGTGAATGAATAAATCTATTTTATGGTTTCAAATAAACTCATCTAATGACCACCAACATACCTCTTAAAACTATTTACATTGCACCGTGTCTTCAAACACAAGTTATCTCTGTTGTGTGTGTGTATATGTATATATATACATTAAACAAATGTAATTTTTTTTATATATCTGTATGTGTATATTATGTCGGTACATAAGATATAATTTTCCTTCATACTTCCAGCTGGTAGAATTGGGAACTATAGTCAAAGCAGTTGTAAAAATAGATGAGGAGAATAAGAATTTCAAAACGTAACACTGGCATTAATCAGGAAAAGATATGTTGGGCCAAAGTTATGAATGTACTTGTCAAAAGTGATATATTTAAAAACAAACCAAAGATATGTTCTTCAATTTTTCCAAGTAAGATGTAATATGTATAAGTGGGTCATTCATCAATATACGAAAAAAATTAAAGAAAATGTAGCCAGATCAGATTTAGATTAGAATGCAATGATGCAAATTCTGATCATATACGACACTTCTTAGAATTTGAAAATAATCTGACCTGCATAATATGGTTGACTGGCAGGATTTGTTACATCAAAGATAGCATGTTGTGGGCAAGGACCATACAATGGGATTGGTCTCTGCACCCCTCTCTCCAACCTGTGCCCAAACAGAGACTTGTATGCATTTTGGGATCCATTCCACCCTTCTGAAAAGGCAAACAAAATTATTGTACAACAGATCATGACTGGATCGACTGAGTACATGCACCCCATGAATCTCAGCACCATCCTGGCCCTGGATTCTAAAGCATGATCATGTTCTTGATCTCTTTATATCTATATTTGGGCTTACCTAGTGTGCTTATCTGAATTTTTTTATGATGTTGTGGAGTGTAATGTGTTTGATAATAAGGTTAGTGTTTCTCAGTTTCCTCATTGGTAAACAGATTTATACAAGTGTTTAAAGGCCAAAGACCTTGGATTAATAATCATGAGGAGTTATTGTTTCACAGTTTGACACTATGATGTTGTGGAGTGTAATGTGTTTGATAATAAGGTTACTGTTTCTCAGCTTCCTCATTGGTAAACAGATTTATACAAGTGTTTATAGGCCAAAGACCTTGGATTAATAATCATGAGGAGTTATTGTTTCACAGTTTGACACAGTACTCGATTCCCCCCTCTCTCTCTCTCTCTCTCTCTCTCCACATACACACGCACACACATATATATATGGTATTCAAAGGAGGATCATTGGTCATCTTGCACCAGTAACACGGGAAGTGGGGTTATTGCACAGTTGGGTCCTTGTTAATCGAGGATGGGATGGGTGTGTTGACTAAAAACTTAGCCAGCGGCATAATTTGTTGGGAGCTAGGATGCATTATATATGCAGATTACTTAATAATATTTTTGATAAATAAAGTGACTGGATTGCCCAACAGGAATTGTTATACAATTTTATTAAGGCTAGTGTTTACCATTGTGTTAATCTAAAAACTCAGATTTTGTATCAACTTTGAGTCAAATTTTGAGTGGGACCCATTTGTCTTTTAAAGTCAAATTTTATGGGTCCACATTGACTCCACGAGGAGATCGACACTATATGCTCATTTACTCAAATCTAAGTAAAAGAAGAATGAAAAAATTTGCTCAAAAAGTGACCCATGTGAAAGANTACTCATTTACTCAAATCAAGTAAAAGAAGAATGAAAAAATTTGCTCAAAAAGTGACCCATGTGAAAGAGAAAGTGTATTGGAACACAAGTGTGGAAATACCAATCCTACATTAGTTGGGCAAGAAAAACTTGGTGATTATATATAGTGCAAGTTTAAGTCTATGGGTTGGGCCCCAAGGGGCACCATAATTTTGGGGAAGGGGAACGACCTACATGGGCTTGGGTTCAACAACACGAGTGTAGCTACCGCCTTGATTCGGCCGGGCCAGACTTGGGTTCAAGAGTGGGTTTAATATAAGATTATCTTTTTGGGCTAAATTTTTTGGCCAAATTGGGTCATAAATTCTTAAACCATTGGTATTCAAATTTCGCACCAAAAATTCGAATTCAAAGTGCACCAGTTTAAATTTGAATTGGTATTTGTTTATTAACAAACATCTTTTGGGTTGCTTCAGCTCACATGGTGATTGTTCAGTATAGACATCATTCCATCTATATAAATCTAGAATCATATGCATTAAAAAAAAAAAAAGAATCATTTTCATAGTTCCAAATTACATTGAGTGTCTACATTAGGGTTGCTCATNGAATAGTCATCATTCCGTCTATATAAATCTAGAATCATCTGCATTAAAAAAAAAGAATCATTTTCATAGTTCCAAATTACATTGAGTGTCTACATTAGAGTTGCTCATAATAGAGAGTACACAACATAGTTTGTTTGCTAGGTAAGCAAATTGCAGTGCTTTTTCTGTGTGCACAGACTCTCAAGTATCCATAAGCATTGGAGAGTAGGCGGAATTTGTCTTAAAGACATAATGTGAAACACTAGACTTGTTCAAATTCTTAAATCATTCATGTTTGAAAACCAGGTTAGTTTTATGCGTTACTATTTTTTGTTCTCAATTGCATAATCTATATCAGAGATGTTAATAAGTAAAATGCATATATGATATTAGCCTCCCAATAATCTTAAGACAAATTTTTTATAATTACTTATTGTGTTTCTGATTTGTGTTAACGTTGGACAATTACAGTAAGGTTGGACAGCAACAATAACATAGAACAGTGACTTTGGACAATAATATAAAACAGAAACATTTACTTGTAACATTGGCTATCTCTATTTTAATAAAGTGTTATTGCTTTTTATTTTTGAATATTTTTCAATTTTTTTTATATAAAAAATGGCTACAAATGAGAATAATTGTTCTACTACTATAAATTCAGTGCTTATTATTGTTTCTACTCATGTGTCTGAGAGAAATCGAAAAAGTTCAATGAGAACGATTTCAAGAGGTGACAACAAAAGGGTGTTTTTCTATCTCACTACATTGAATCTTCCAAAATTTATTTCTGAGGATAATCTTATTTTTTGTGAGAATGAGACGGACCAACAAGTGGTTGCCATAGTTGATGTATGAAAACATTCTAATTTCTGTACAATTCTCAATGGATAAGATAGTATATAATGTGTATATGCAATTATGATAGCCAGAGAGCTATGGGAATTCTTGGAAAAAAATTACAAAACAAAAGATGTCGGAATAAAGAAATTCATTGTGAGTAGATTATTTGATCACAAAAATGGTGGATTCTAATACTCTCAATAGTCAAGTTCAAGATCTTCAAATGATTCGGCATAAAATTCATACCGAAGGGATGGTGCTTAGTAAATCTTTTCAAGTGGCTGCAATCATTGAAAAATTGTCGTCACATTGGAACAAATTTAAGAATTACTTGAAGCAGAAACACACAGAAATGAAACTTGAAAACTTGATTATTAGAATAAGGATTGAGAAGGACAATAGAGTTTCTGAAAAGAAAGAAGGTAATCATTCATGGAGTCAAAAACACATGTGATTGAAAAAGGGCAAAAAACCAACAAGAAAATGAAGCATATTGGCCAACAAGGGGCCAAGGGGGTTGACTTGAAAACGTTCAAAGGCAATTTGCCTTGCGTGCAACAAACGGAGGAAGACTGTGTAAGCAAATTAAAGATAAATTACAACAAAGAATGCACCTGAGCTAGTGATGTGAATCATGAGACCTACATTATCGACCTCTGAATCACCTCTTGAAACACCTTGTCTTCTTCGGCAGCGATGCCAAAAATACTTTCTCCTTAGAGTTGTATTCAATTAACAAGAATTCCCAAGCGCAAGAAGTGGTATCGTTTGTAACTCGGTTGATTACCGAGTTCGTTTCCTTACGGAAGATAGTTGGTTCGAAGGGTGATAAAACAACGAGAAATAGATGTTCATAATTTTTAGAGTATTTGAGAGTTGGAAAACTTAATTAATTAAAAAAATAACACTTAAATAAAACATTGGTTGGTTGGTAGAGATTACCTCACCGTGATTAGGTATTTTCACTGAAATTCTATAACTTACTTGAGCTTATAGTCAAGCTTCACCCAATCAGTAAGTATTCATTAAACACCCAATTTAATTAACAAATGTGTTTTTGAATCAATTGAATCGATTAGTATAATTAATTCAATTGTAGTGATAACAAGAATTATCTGTGTCAAATCTTAGTTGTTGACAGGTAAGAAAGAAGATATACAACTGAACATCTTCCCAATTAATCTATTCAATTGACTCAAATAACTTGACAATAGACTAACCCTAATTTTGAGTCGAAATTCTCAATTTATGGATGATACTACTTCATTCAATAAAACCAGTGAACGACTACTCATGCATGGCAGAAAATAAATTAAAATCGGTTAAAGAAAGCATCATGTAAATTAAAGCAAAAAGACAAGAATTGCAATTGCAAGTAATGTAAATACCTTGTATTAAAATAGCAATGGGAAGAACTCGTTCACATAAAGTAAACAATCATAATTGATGTGCAAAAATTAAAGACTTGAATTTAAAGAGAGTTTGTAAAGTAAACAATGGAGAAAAAGCTAAAAAAAAGAAAAAAAAACTAAAAACCCTAGGAAAGAGAAGAAGAAAAACGGTGAATTAAATGATGAAATGTGATCCTCTCTCTCTCTTGCTAGACTTGGGTATTTATAGAGAGTATTGTGTTGATTTCTCTCTTTTTAAATCACCAATCATGGCCTTAAAAATAACCCAGCAGATTAACTTTCCAAATCTGTCCTTGCAGTAGATTTACAGGAACCCACCCATAGGAAGCAGAAAACAACCCTACCGGTAGAACTATTTACTGTTTTCCTTCTATTGGTTACTTTGTTCTTCTACTAGTAGGATGCCTTTCTGTCTTCAACCTACCAGTACAAAAATACTCACCTACTGGTAGGACAAATTAGTAGATTGCACCTAGCAATAAAAGTGATGACCTACAAGTAGAACCTCATTCTGGCTTCAATTGTACCAGTACAAGACCTACTGGTAGAAGTGGTCTTTACTCAATTTTGTTTGCAATGGCCTTGGTTGCACTCTTGGACCTCTTAAACCAAGTCCCAAGTCTTCCATGACATTGAAACATATGTAATTCCATACTTTTGCACCAATTCAATTGCAAACACCCAAAATCACTATAAAATACAAAACTTAACTGACAAAAGGAATTAAGTGACAAACATAACTAAGATGAATGGTTATGAGGCTTATAATATGCAATATTATGCTCTCATTAGCAAAACAAATAAACAAGCATTAAACTACCCAGCGTCATATAAATTCCCAACTATACTTAACCACATAATCAATATCATTAAATTGACATGCTATGTTTGAAGAATAAATGACACACAATTGGAATCAAAAGACATTATGTATTTATGTGTGTGTGTATATATATATATATATGTTGTGTGATTTTGGGTACAAAAGAACAAAAGTGTAGTAACCTCTACCTATCGACTCTTCTATACCCAAAATAAAATCCCTAAGGTTCTATTAGACAACTAAAAAGAAGACTGGAAAAGAAAAGTAGATAGATCCTTAAACCCATCACTCTAAATCCGAAATAGGAGCATCCCCCAAAACCTTAGCCTCCTCTCCATCCTCCTCAAAATCAAAAATAACCACCGGCTGACCAATATTCTGAACCGCAACCAAATTCTTCTCCTTAGAAGTGACAGTAACCTTAGCCCGGGTACCCATTTTTCCTATCATACCCTCAATTGCCTTCAAGTGTACAGAGGCAAAGAGAAACCATACCAGAAGACTTGTGGCCCAAGGATTTGAAGATGAAATTTTCTTGAGCACAGTAGGTACATTCTTTTCCTCTTCATCATCCGACTCTCCCCTCTGCCTCTTACCTTTCTCTTCTGTTGACAACTGCTTCGATGGAGCAACTGCCTCTAGAGCTTTGTTTGGTGGTACCCGACCTGACAGTGTTCTTGCCATCTTAGGTACAACCAGAAAAGTTATGGCAACAACCAAGATCCAAGAAAACAGGGTAAACCTGTGAAT